GCTACAACTGCAAGGTATGCGGTATAATCCTGCAGTGGTGAGGGGGTCCCTTCTGTCCTTTGCTGACCGGAACATTTGTTGTATTTTTGTGGTGGGTCTGAATACTGTTTGTAGCTTTTGTTTTTTTCAAAAGTATCCCCATGACCCCGTGACCCTTTTGATGTATGACAGAACTACTTTATTTGTGTGTGGCTGTTTTTCTTCTTCAGTTTGGTGTTGTTTTCTCAGTTTGATGGCTCTTGTGATTTCATTCTTGGTATAGCCATTCGCCTGTAGGGCCCAATTCAGATGGTTGAGTTCAGTGCTGAGAAATTGAGCTTCACATTTCCGATTTGCACGGTCCTCCAGTGTTTTGATTATGCCACATTTTTGTTGTGGGTGGTGGTTGGAGTTTTTGTGTAGGTACTGCTCTGTGTGGGTGGGTTTTCTGTAGATCTTGTGTCCCAGCAGGAGATCAGGTTTGCGTATGAGCATGACACCTAAAGAAGGGAGTTGTCCCTCTATTTCTTTTCCATTGTGAATTGTATATTTGGGTGGAATAGCAAAAAGGTCAATTAACTCTACCCAGCCACAAGGACTAGTGATCACTACACACAAAAGACTAGCTAATGACACCCATCAGTCACAGTGACAGATCATCTCCCCCCTTATCACAATAATACACCCATAACAAAAAACACCCTGATCACCTTAATCACCCAATCACCTGAAAAGAACAAAAACCTGATCCCCACAGCTACAAATACTCAACAATCCCACACACTACACCAGAACACAGAGTTCTGTCTCCTGTCCTCTGAAGACTGGTGAAACGTTAGGAAGAACATGCCCAAATGTCCCGAAAAACCTACAACAAGCAACGGATCCCGGCTGTGAAAGCCTTTGAGAATACAAGATATCATTTTATTTTGAAACGGTTAATCAAAACTTTGGAGGAAACCTATCTCTGAGATTTCAGTGATGGGTTCACAAATTTTAAATAGATTTTTTGAGTTTTATTAAGATCTGTGTATAGTCTTTTGGTTTTTCTTAAGTTGTGTTTGTATACTGTTGAAATGTTAATTTTGAAAGTGAAAAAAGAAGTGTAAAATATTCTGCATTCACTTATCTTTTATTTCTGTATACGTGTAAAGATCATTAAAAATCTGTTTGTTTGTTTGTTTATTTGATTTATCCCCCGCCTATCTGGACTACCAAACCACTCTAGGCGGCTTCCAATACAAAATCAGACAATAAAACACAGGTAAGTACATGACAATTCAGTAATAGCTACAATGAAATAAAGGATAGGGAAAAGTAAGAAAAAAAAATAAAAAATCAAGAGCTGGCTGGAGGGAAGGCCTGAATGAACAACCATGTTTTCAATTGGGTTTTAAAGATGCCCAGCGTAGGGGCCGCGCGAATCTCCGGAGGGAGATTGTTCCAGAGGCAAGGAGCCACCGCCGTGTCTTCTCCTTCCGGGCCTCTCTCGGCGTCAGGCTCCTCAGCCTCACCTCCTGACTCACATGGGTGATCTGGGTAGATCTTGGTGGAAGCAGGCGTTCCGCCAAATATCGAGGTCCTAAACCGTTTAGGACCTTGTAAGTAAGCATTAAAACTCTGAAGTTGACGCAGAAACAAATGGGCAGCCAATGCAGTGCAGTTAGAGTTGGAGAAATGTGTTGGTATTTTCTCACTCCGGTAAGGAGTCTGCCCGCCGCATTCTGCACCACCTGAAGTTTCCGCATCAGCCTCAAAGGCAGCCCCACGTAGAGCGCCGATGGCTTGAGAAATTTAGGGAAGTTATACTGTGATGGTGTCTTCTGGATAACTTAAGTTGAGTTTGGCCATAAGACTATATTTTTTTAAAAAGCTATGCACAGCATTAATGTACCACCAGAGGCAGACAGTGTTGGTTCTTTCGTCTTCATGCACCAACATTTGAAATTACAATACCACATTGAATTGACTGAGTTCTGGTTTATTTTCTGACTCAGCTGCTGGAATTCCGGTTTTATTGAATTTTCTAATGGGGCCCACCTACTGACAACCCGAACATGTCACTTCTGTTTCTTGGCATTGTGGTTTGCCAAAAAAGAAAGGCACGGGGCATTGTTCATTCCAGTACTGGCCGGGACAAAGTGGTGTCCCAGTGACAGAAATAAATAGGAATAAACAGGGGTATGGTTTTTGGTGGAAGGATCATCCTTGTCTGTAAAACAAACAAACAAACAAACAAAAAACCGTAGCTTTTGTAAAGGGTCCGTGGTCAGGAGATGAAATTCAGGGAGGTTGTTTACACCTGTTCAGGTGACAACTTGAGAGAATGCCAGCATTAACTAGCACGTTCAGTGTGAATTCAGGGACATACGCAAATGTCTCATGCTGGCGCAGGAATATTAAACAAGCAAGACTCCAGTCATCTTGGTTCTTATTGTGCTAAATGTGGCTGGAGTGAAATCTAAAAGAGAGGAGAAAAAGAATGTAAGCTGAACGAGGGCCAGTCTCCCTGCCAGGAGACGGACCATGACAGACAACAGACCTGGAGGAAATTTAAACGCCAGCAGATTGTCTGTAGTTTAATCAGCTTTTTTACCACCACCTTTTCTGAATTCAGCACCAAAATATCTTAAGACTCTCTCTGGGTGATAGCTACTTAATGTATATTATTGATGGGTGTGGGTATCCATTTCTAAGCCACCAGAAAGAAAAGAGGTTGTTAATATGTACGGTTGAGTAGAGATGCATAATATATTCGATCTTGGCTCATTTCTTAAATTCCCATGTTTGCCACCAACTTTGTGGAAGTAAAATAACAGCCAGTTCTGTCTTTGAAAAGTCAGATCCATGTTTTCCTCATGGAATGGGCAAAGAGCATCTCAGTGTGAATTAGTTCCTGGAACTGACAAATGTCTGTTCCCAGAAGATTCATTATGGAAGGTTTAATAGAGCCGGAAGCCTGGCTGTGCACCTGAGCCATTGTGGTGAAATTAGAAGCAGTAGAAGAAAAAGCTGGTGTGTGTATGTGTGTGGCGGGGGGAGGAAACTGGTTTGTCTAACGCTTTGGTACACATGTTGTTGTTTGTTTCCTTTCATTGAATATATAGTTTTGCTCTGAAAACCTCACCAGCCCCAGTAACTTAAAATTTAAATTTTAAAAAGTCAAATTGTGTTGACAGTTTAAATTTTTTTAAAAATCAATTCTTTTGATTTAAATCATGATTTGAACCAATTGTGGGGAGGAAACTGGTTTGTCTAACGCATTGGTACACATGTTGTTGTTTGTTTCCTTTCGTTGAATATATAGTTTTGCTCTGAAAACCTCACCAGCCCCAGTAACTTAAAATTTAAATTTTAAAAAGTCAAATTGTGTTGACAGTTTAAATTTTTTTAAAAATCAATTCTTTTGATTTAAATCATGATTTGAACCAATTGTGGTTTAATTAAGTTTGATTTAGAAATACCATTGATTTTTATTCGCTCTGTGTGGTTCAGGTTGCCAAATTCTGCTTGCTGAATGTAAGCTACTAGTTGACTGGACTGCAAAGAGAACAAACCTATCAATTCTAAAGGAAATCAACCCCGGGTGCTCATTGGAAGGACAGATCCTGAAGCTGAGGCTCCATCAAATTGTGTTGACAATTTAAATTTTTAAAAAAATCAATTCTTTTGATTTAAATCATGATTTGAACCAATTGTGGTTTAATTAAGTTTGATTTAGAAATACCATTGATTTTTATTTGCGCTGTGTGGTTCAGGTTGCCAAATTCTGCTTGCTGAATTTAAGCTACTAGTTGAACACCCCTGTTGTCCAAGAGCTCATTCTGTGAACCTGGAGAGTCACTTTTTGCTTGGGCAGAAGCCATTTTGGTTTGGAATTACTCCTTCCGTTAATTTAGCCACCACAAAAAATGTGGATGAATGTGCACTTGCTGTTGTATATTTAGAGTTGCCTTCTTTCAGTTTTGGGCCTGATTTATTGGGACTTCTTTCATTTAAAACATTTGCTGTAGCAGCATCCTGTCTGGTGTGAAGCAGGCCATGCATGGTTGAGACTGGGTAGGGCTACTGTACCTTTAGTTAGGAACTTCCTATTCATGATTCCCCCCTGCACACACACACACACACAACCCGTGCATTAGTTAAATGACTAGTTAAAGGAGGATAATATCACCACTCTTGACTGCCTAGTTGTGTGGTTCAGGCATTTGGATGTGGAGCCAGAGGTTGGGAGAAGAGCCAGCCTGGGTGGCCCTGGGACAAAAGTGGCCCGGTGGTCCCAGGGCACTCCCAGAAGAAGGGAAGGGGGAAAACACTTCTGAATGCTCAGAAAATCCCGGAAAGGATCTTTCTAGGCTAGGTTGACACACATCGGCTAATGTGTGCTGGGTGTGGATTTCAGGGAATCGGGTCTTGCAGGCGCAGAAGGGGAAACAGGCCTGGAAGAGTCAAGCCGGTGGGTGGAAAGGAACACATGAGTTTGTCCCTGCCTCCCCCACCCCCTCTGGCTTTAGGGACAGAATGGTGCCGTCATTTTGGTCCAGGAGCTGGCCAGCTCTGGGATGGTGATGGTGAAGTCACAAGCAGGTCTGCAGAAGGCAGTTCCTAGCTCAGCTTAACTGATACAGTGGTGCCTCGTCGAAATTTTTGTATATCGAAGCACCATTTCCCATAGGAATGCATTGAAAACCGATTAATCCATTCCGGCCGAAGAAAAAAATTACCCCCCCCCAAATAAAAATAAAAAAACTGCAAACCCCTGGGCCTGCAAAACAACAACAACAAAATACAAAACAAATCTAAAAATAAACGTAAGCATGACCCCACCAGCCCGATCCGACCCTGAAAAAGCCACCCCAAACAGTAAAAAGCTACATAAAAGCGGCACCTCAGAGTGGTCGGATAGACCAGATGGGCAGGATACAAATCAAATAAATAAACAAACAAACACCTTACCTCCACTGCTGCCGCCTGGCCCTGGCTCTGACACAGCCGGAAGCCTCCCGGGCTTCCCCATCGCCATGACTGCCACCGCCGGGGAAGCCCAGGAGGCCTCCAACGGCGGCGGGGAACCCCGGGAGTCCAGCTGGGATGGTTCGGAGGCTCGCCTCCTGGCGGCGATGGCAGCAGCGGTGGAAACCCAGGAGGCTGAGCCTCCCTTTTCCCAACCGCTGGGACAAAGAAGCAGCCTCTTTGCCACCAACGGTTTGAATTTCCCGCCCTTTCCCCCTGTCTTTTTTTGTCCCTAACTCGAAGCTCCGGCCGCAAGTTGAAGCAAAATTTTGCGGCCGGAGCTTTTCGTAAGCCGAAATGTTCATAAGTAGGAACGTCCGTAAGTCGAGGGCCCCACTATAAGGCGATTATCCTCTGGGATATGAACTGCAGTGAATGTTTCAAGGGAGTTTCAGCTTCTCCGAGATTCACATTTGTGAGGAACCAGATGTGCTGAGTTTTGTTTAATGATGCCTAAATTCTGTTTTCTGAAAATAAACTTTACTGTGAACCTTTACAATGTCAGACTGTTGGGACTGAGTGTTTAATCAGACATGCTTTGGACCGCTGAGGTGAAATTCCGGAGGGCAGCTATAACATTTCCCACAGAGGGAAGCAAAGATGTGATTGTGCTCCGGAATATGGAGAGCCCTGGGGTATTTCTGATGGGGTGGCAGTATAGTCTTGATTTGAGGCAACAGTGAGAGCAGCTCTTAATTCTCTATAGACGGTCCCTATCAGTTCACTTCGGATTCATATCCCTAAGGGTGGTTTGGTCCATAGTTGGAGAATCTTTGACACCAAGGGACACTCACAGGAGAAGAACAACCTGCGGCTTCTAGTCGACAGCTGATGAACCGAGGACTCTGTGCTTTCCCCCTTCCTGACTCTCTTCTGGGACTGCGGTTTTTCTGGAAGAACAATGTTCCAGATATTACATCTGGTGGGAACGGTCCTTCGAGGAAATCTCTGGCTTCTTTGAGGCTCACAAGGGGCTGCCTTCTAGACATCTGATGGAAGAGCAGAAGGGCTGGCTCTTTTCTTGGTGGCCTTTTGCGCTAGCGCTACCCTGCCACTCTTAGCAAGTGGGGAGCCCTGCGCAGTCAGAGGCGCCTCTGCCGTCTAGGCGTGCCCTGTTCTGTGCCAGCGCCCAGGCAGCCGGCTGCGCTCAGGTGGGCAGAACTCCTGCCTTAGGTTCTCACCTCATGGTACCTTTTGCAAAGCCAGGTCAGAACGACTAAAAATAGGGGATGGAAGTGTTAAAAGTTGTCGCTTTGTGGGGAGGCATATTGTGCGTTTTTCAGAACCGAGGTGCATCTGAAGAGTTATGTCTGCCATTGGATGCTTCCGGGGGTGGAAGGGCTTGCTCAGAGAGCCCTCACGGAGGCTGCATTGGGAAAAGAGAGCTGTTCCTCAAGAGAAGAGACCAGGGTGAGACCTCCAAGGTCTTCGGCCAGAGCTACCGTTTGGCCATTTAAAACAGCCTGCTGGGGAAAGACCCAGGTTTTCTGGACTAAGCGTTCCGAACCTCTCATCCCCCCCCTCCACACCCACCCTGTTCAGGGCCGTCGTTATGCCGCACAAATAAGTTAATTACAAGAGAAGGAGAAGGGGCCCGTCCGCTGCACTTGGTTGAATGTGCCGTGACTCTGTGGCACTTCGTAGCTTCTCACGAAGCTGTGTTTTGGGCTGACAGAGCAGGGACTTTACTGTGAGAGTGACTCAGGCATCCTGTGTACAGGGAGCGCAAAGACAGTTCCTGCAGGCGCTGGGAGTAGGAGGCAAAATGTTCTTATTCGAAGGGGCTTTTTTGGAAGCCTTAAGTGGTCCAGAACGGAATATAATAAGGGTCCTTGATGAGAGCAAGGGTGTATGTATATATGAGAGATATATCTCCTGCATGGAGAATTAGTGCAGGGAAATCACCCCAGAGGGAGACCACAGCTGTGATACAAGGAGATCTGCAAGCAGGATCTGAAGGCCTTAGGAATGGATCTCTGAGGGTTCAACCTGGAGGCAGGCGGTGCATCACGGCCTCTCTCAATTCCGGGGAGCTGAACGAGTTGTCTTCCATGTGGAAGGGATTGTGTCCCTCTCGAATTGGCCTTCTCATCCACGCTAGACGCTGTTCCAAGTCCTCCATCCAGAGCACGTGGCCATCGTCTCTCGAGACTGAAGGAGGCCTAATCTGAATCTGAATATATATACTGTATATAAAACCTTGTGTCAGCTACTGGCAAGAAAAGAAAAGAAAGAATATTAGAAACATGGCAGTGTGCTATGGACACACAAATGGCAGAATTCTCTCCACCCTCTTGAGGGCACAAGGGGAGAATTTGGGGTTGGTTTTTTTAAAAGGGTGCCTGGAGAACAGGAGTTCTTGGGGGCTGCCTTTGGGCCCCTGAGAGGCACCACTGGTTTAAATCACCAAAAAGCTTCAAATCAAGGTTCCCCTAATACTTCACTAATTTCTTGAGGAAATGTGATCATTTAAAAAGTTGATTTACAACGTAGTAACTCAGAACTCTCTGTGCTCTGATGTTTAAGAGTTCCGACTCCTGTCCTCTGAAGATGCCCATGGCCACAGAGACTGGCGAAACATTAGGAAGAACAACCTCCAGAACACGGCCAAAGAGCCCGAAAAACCCCACAACACCATCAGATCCCGGCCGTGAAAGCCTTCGAGAATACAAAGATATTTTTATAGACTTAAAAAAACAAACAGAAAAACACACCCTGATATGGACATGCTTTGTCATATTGGTTGCTTTCTAAAAACATTTTGTGTAGTAGCCTGGGTTCTCCCCTTAGTCCTCCCAGCCCTCCTGCAAAGTTGCTCTGGAAGATTAGGGGACTTTTGGGGAGAACTTGGAGCAGCCGGAGTGGAGTGGGGCGCGCGCGCAGATGGTTGGCCTTGCAGGCTGCCTTAAGTGGTTTCTACGCCTGCTTTTACAGAGTTTGGATCTCAGTCTTTTCCTTGAGGGCTTGAAGACTTCACCCCATCAGGGGTGTTTCACTGCAGGGATCTCATGCGAGGGGATATCCTGACTTCTCATGAAGTGCACGATGGCAAACATTTTTAAAAAAAATAATATATCCATTCTCTCTCCAAGTGGGTATGGAAGAGTAGCAAAAGCAGGACTTTTCTCCTTTAACTTCTTCAGTAATAGTTTCTCATCATCACTGCTTTCTGCCAGTAATAAATATTGTGCTATCTGTATTTTAAATTATTGATGCTTCTTCCACCAGTTTTCACTCCTCCTTCAGCTGAGTATAATCCAGCTTTTAGTGTGATGTATTCTGCATGCAGATCGAACAGTTAAGGGGATGCACTGTTTTCTAACACCTTTACCCGTGGAAAACCATTCCATTTCTCCCCATTCTGTTTTAAGGGTAGATTCTTGTCTACAATACATCAGGACAATCAAATGTTGGTGTGCTCATTTCTTTCAAAACCTTCCATAGTTTCTCATAATTCACACAGTCAAATGTTCTCAAATTACTCTCAGAGCAGTTGGAAAAAATAAATCACTAGGAGTGGATGAAATACTGTACCAGTAGAGCTACAGAAACTGAATCCTAACAAGAATGTGCCAACAAATGTAGCAGCAGCAGCAAAGGCTGTTGGGAGTGATCAGTATGTATTCCAGATCCAAAGAAGGAATATCTCAAAATCTCAGTGACTGTAGGATAATTGCATTAATTTCACGTATAAACAAAGTGATGATCATTTTGCAACTTGAATTTTGTACCATGTAAAAATGCAAATTATTGTTGAGAATGTGTGTAGCATGTGCTGTGTATCCCCAGTCGTACTATATGTCATGGAACTGTGAACTTAAACACAGGCAATCGTGAAAAAATGAGAAATGGTTTGCATGTGAATTACTGCAGAATGCTGAGTATTACTGGGAATGAGGTGGTGACTAGTGACTTTTCTCTTCAGAGAGGCTTTCCCTGAGTGACTTCGCTGCTTGAGTGGGGTTTTTTAATGGAAGGTTTTGCCGTACTGCTTTGAAAGTGTTTTTGGTGTTGCTTTTCTTTACTCTTTATTAGTGTGGCATTGGTTTGTTCTTTTTAAATTATTTGTATACTTATTGTTTTTAACTTTCAGTATTAGACCTTTTAATGATGTGAGCCACCTTGGTTCTTTTGTAAGGAGAGAAAGGCGGGGTAAAGATATTTTATAGAAAACAATCCAAACTAACAGTGACCATGTACTAAAAGAAATGAAGACTAAGAAATTGTAAAAACAGATAAAATACCCTGTTTCCCCAAAAATAAGACAAGATCTTATATTAATTTTTGCTCCAAAAATGCATTAGGGCATATTTTCAAGGGATGCTTCATTTTTTCATGTACAATCTATGTTTATTCAAATAGAGCCATGTCATCATCTTCTAGTTGCTGCACAAGGGTGGAGGGCGGGGTTTCCCTTAACTAGGGCTTATTTTTGGGGTAGGGCTTATATTACAAGCATCCTGAAAAATCATGCTAGGGCTTATTTCCAGGTTAGGTCTTATTTTCGGGGAAAGAGGGTACAGAGATGGAGAGTATTTGGGCCATATGCAGAGCAATGAAAAGTGCCTATTGTTCCACCTGGGGTAAAATCAATTGGGAAATCCGTTCAGGAAGTCGAAGAGGAACCTTGGAGAATGGTCTGGGTGCCACCTGATGATCTTTTCTCAAGGTTCTGCCTCCAGAGTCAAAATGGCCATGATGATGATGATGATGATGATGATCTCCCCAACACCCACACAAACACACACGCTGCCTTGGGACCGTCCGCTTTTCTTTTCCTATCGAGTCCCGCTGCCTTCAGGTCGGCTTGGTGTGCTAAAGAAAAAAAAAAGCTTTTGGAACCCTCTTTTTCCGAAAGACCTGAAAGTGGGAGGAACGCAGAGTCCGTGGGGCAGGTGCACAGGATCTCTGGTTACCAGGTTGCTTCTCCTTTCCTCGTGACCCCGATTCTAATTAAAGCCTTGAACAGCATTTGGCTAATTGGATGAGTCATAGGAGCACCGATCTGGGTCAGGTCCTCCTCAAACCTCTCATTTTAATTTCTTCCTCCTCGTGCGGAGGCGGAGACGGCAGGCTGTGCTCGCTTTGGCGGCTCGTCCTCAACCCTTGAGGGAACGCG